AGACATATACAATGGAGATTTATTAAAAAGTTTAGTTGGACTTCTGAATGAGTTCTTATATCTGATTGTTTGGGAAATCAATCCATTTTTCTTGAAATCATTCTACCTTCATTGTAAGTGTTTCTACTCTTATCGTAGAAAGAAAAGTCAAAAACATTTAACTGAAAATAATAATTCAAAATTGCATACTATTTATTTCCAAAATTGCTAAAAGAGTAGATTTTAAATGTTCTTACTCCTCAAAAAATAAGGATGTAAAGTGATGAATGTGCTACTCATCCTGATCTCATCATTTTACAAGTATACACATTTTAAACATCACACCGTACAATATAAATACATACAATTATTTGATGACTAAAATTAAACTACAAAGATAGGAATTATCTCATCATTAAGAAAGGCATTAAAGTGGCAGTCTAGGGGAACAAGACTAAGTGAGGTACATTCAATTTCATTTGCCTGCTCTAACTCAGACATTTCACTCTGTTTAACCAACGAAGGCAGCCCAAGATCTAGACATGTACTCTATGCCACAGACAATGCATTTAATAGCCACCTGAAGATAGTAAAAGGACATGTGCCATTTTAAACAGTTCATATCACTTAAGATGAAAACAGTATTATATAGTTTTACTCTAATTAATTACTATTAATTATAATTGCATTCATCAGAATTAACACAAATGGGTTTTCCTATCACTGGATTAGGTAATATAAACCTCCTTTTAGCAACTATACCTATTAGGTAAGGTCAAATTAGAACTCACTTCACTTACACAGTATAAGTTTCAAGGCAGGAGTTTTGTATAACTACTGGAGGAGGTCCAGTAGAGGGAGAAGTGGGAAGCTTATTCTAATACTTCAATCAATTTCTCATCTCCTTAAGTAAAAAGGCCTCCATACAGAAAGGAAATTAGGGTGAAAGTTTTGGCAGTTGTCACTACAACCTCATGCAAGCAAATTAACAAAAAGTCTGGACCCTTAGCAATTCCCATTACACAACTAATACACTGGCTGAACTTAACTTATTGACATCAGGTCTATCAATATCAAGTTGAATTTCATTGCTGCTATACTACTCTAGCCTCCATTATGTTTCTCCAGAATCAAATGTTCAATAAGGAAAGCAACGAAAAACATAAAAAGGGAAAAAGAGTCATTAATAATTACTTTATTGTTCCCTTCAAACATCTCCATCCAAATAATAAAAAAGGTGCAATAATACATAGAATCACTCAATAATAATGACAGATCTTATTAAGCATTTCCCTTTTTCACAAATAGGAGGAAAGCCAATTCAGGTATCATATACACTGTTCAAAGTAACAGCTTCCCATTCTCTCCTCCTGTTTCCAACTCTGACATGACACAGTAATGAAGACCACTTATTTGAGTTACTATTAAGAGCTGCTTCCTTTGGAGCAAACACCACTTACAAGATAGACTTTAACGTGTTCTGAAAGATGATAATGTTAACTGCTACCCATATGCTTAATGTAAAGAGACAGTAATTCTTTTCTACCTCAACCCCACTGCTTATTCTGTCTCTTCTTCCCTACTCCCCAAGCATGCGTACACATGCAGAAGATTTCATGAAAATCATTCAACATGTCAGAACTCATTTACCAACTTCTCAGATACTTAATGAGGAAAAGATTGGAGCCAGATGTATTGATAAAGTCAGGGTTAGGATAAGAAAGCCAGCCTAACACAGAAATAGAATTTGGTAACATACCAGCTACATTTTTTTTCATAACTTTAAAGTCTTCTCCTCTTTTTTTAATACTCCTTAGAAACTTCCCTCATTTTAATAGAGCTATTATAATCTCAATTATTAAAAATCAAAGTCAAAACAAAAGCAGATTGCTTCATTAAGGAAATAAAAAGTAGGGGCTGGGATTGTGGCTCAGTGGTAGAGCGCTCGCCTAGCATAGGTGGGACCCAGGTTCGATTCTCAGCACCACATAAAAAAATAAAGGCATTGTGTTGTATCCATCTACAAAAAACAAAAAACAAAACAAAACAAAAAAAAGATTTTCTCTCTCTTTAAAAAATAGAAATTATTAAAAAAAGAAAAGAAAAAGTAAACACATAAAATGATCTTTCATATAGTAACATTTACAGAGCATATACTACAAATATAGATTGGCTAGGGTCTCATCTTGAAAATTCTGATAGCTGGGTATGAGAAATATGGACAAGATTTACATAGCTGTAGGGCACTACACATGTGCAATGCTTATAAAAAGAGCAAGAATATATTTTCAAAATAAAATTTTGAAAAAAAAATCCCAATTTTACTTATAACAACAGGGGTTGGGGACATAGCTCAGTGGTAAAATGTGTGCTTTAGATTGTGCAGGGTCCTGGGTTCAATACCCATCATCAAAATAATAATAACAGAAACAGTGATAAAAACAACTGATGTGATACATAAGAGGTGGACCCTAGACTTTGAGGTCTTGGTACACAGACTACATGCATGCCTGCTTCTGCTCTCTTAAAAAAACAAAAAGAACCTTTTGGAAACGTCACCTTCCAAATGCAAACCAGAGAAGGGCTTTTAGGATACCACCAGGAAATGAGTAAACTATTCATTTCACTGAAGCCACAATATAGTAGTCCACTTGAAAGTATTTTAGGGTCAAATGTAACTACTCATCATTTATTAGGGAGCCTTCTTTTAATAAGCTCAAAGGATGTAGCTAAATATTGTCACAAAATAGGGCTAACCCTAACTGTATAAATACAGTAGAATAATGGGTAAATCCTATCAATAAACAATCTTTCAATAAACTTCATTGATTTTCAAATGAAACTGAATTTCTGCCAGAGGGAAAATTATCTGGAGTCCATTCCAAACACTGCAGTTTCTTCAAATATTTTAAAGCCTGCTCTTGCCTTATTCTAACTAAGTAAAAAGTGGCACGATTTGAGGAAGGGGCTTTGAAAAGTTAGTTACACACTTGCCAACAATTTGAGTAGCGCTTCCTTTGCAGGAAGAGAAATTTTATGTGTCATTACAACAACTATCCATGGAGTTGTAAGAACAAGTGCTAACTATATGTACACTTTTCCAAAGTAATCCCCAACTCCATTTAATATTTATCAAGAACATCATAAAAACTCACCTATGTTCATCTATATAGAAAAGGCCCTGCATTGCTAAGAAAAAAATAATTTACAAGGAAAAAATGATATAGAATTAAACATATAAGTAGGTAAAAAGGTCTAGAAAGAGGAAATTAAAATTAATTTTTATAAGAACAAGAACTTGAACACAGTAAATAATTATCTCCAAAGACTATCTAAAAAGGAATGCTAAATAGTCTTATTTCAGAAATTTAAAAAATAACTATCAAAATGAAAGAAACTATTTTGTAGATAGCACATATCAAATCAAATTTTAGAGAAAACACAAAATGTTTTACTGGTTCTACATCTGAGAATATGCCCACTATATCTAAAGCTGGTTTCCCCATCTCTATTTCCATCATTTTCACTTTCTTTGAACTTTATTCATAATATTCATTGGTCTCAGGAGAGCTAACTCACAAGAGCCACAGCATTCTTTCAGCAGTTCCATTAATCTCCCTGACAGCAACCTCCTCAAGGTTAAATGCAGATACTTATCTTTGCATTAAATAAAAACAAAGCTCCAAATCACAACTGATTTGAGTTCCTTTAGTCCACTCTATTTGGCCTTATTGGAAGTGACTGGAACTTACAGCTTTGTCAAAAGACGTATTTGAATGGCACTACACAAAGAAAAAATACAAATAAGTAAATATTCTCAACTTAGGAAGATGGCATTCTTTTGTTAGAATATGCAAGACCTTTAAAGGGCCTTGAAACCCATAAAATTTTAAAGAATATGTATTTGAATGTTGAATGTAATATCATTCAAAGTTCTTTTTAAATTTTATAACCTAAATTTTATATTTTTATTATTTATAACACAATAATTATAACTGTAAGTAGTTAAAAGCAAAGTAAAACACTGTTTAAGACTAAAAATACATTTTAAAAGTAACCCTTAACTTATGGTAGATGTAAACTAGTTGAGAAGAGAAAGAAAACGGGCAATTATAAAATAATATATAGAAAAGTGCAAGACAGTTTTTTTTTAAGATTTAAATTTTAATTTGTTATATATGACAGCAGAATGCATAACAATTTATACTACACATATAGAGCACAATTTCTCATAATTCTGGTTGTACACAAAGTAGAGTCACACCATTCATTAAAAAAAGGTGTTCATGATAAAAAAAACACATTACTCATTCTCCACATTTTAACATGGTTTCTGTTTTTTATTTTGTTATTGATTTCTCTTTTCATTTCACTGTGTTCTGGCAGGATACAAGAGATTATCTGCATTCTTTTTGTACTTGCTAAGACTGTCTTTCAATCCTAAATTGGTCTATTTTAGAGAAGTTTTCACGTGCAGCTGAGAAGAAAGTGAATTTGTTTTATGATAGATGAAATATTCTATACATAACTATTAGATACATTTGAATAAAATTATTCTTTAGTTCTCAAGGAGAAAAAGGAAAGTGCAAGGCAATAAAGCATAAGTATACATACAGGGTTAAAGAACAATGGAGAAGACAAAAGAGTAGAGTTTGTTAATAAACAGTAATTTAGGGGTGGAAATTTTATATAGTAAAACTGAAAATTCATAGGAAGAAGATTCAGCATAAGAATAAGACTAGAAAATCAATAAACTATGTTCAAAGAAAACAAGCATTTTCAGATTATCTAAAGCAGAATAGCTATGCTAGTGAGTATTTTACCTTAAAATGGGGTTAAAACATTTTCAGGTTTGGTCAATGGGAGATTCCAAATGCTAGGTACTAGGGTCTCAAAGTTTGTCTCCCTCATCAAAATTCTTAGAGTGAAATCCAATCACCAATGCAATGGCATTAAGAGGTGGTCCCTTTTAAATATTATTAGGTCATGAAGGCAAAGCCCTCATGGACAGGATCAGAGCCCTTATAAGAGACCTGAGACAGCTACTTTGCCCCTTTTACCATGTGAAAAAACCAAGTTGCCACCTATGACACTGAAAGCAGGCCCTCAAGAGAAATCAAATCTATTGATGCTTTGATCTTAGACTACCCAGTCTCTACAACTGTAAGCAATAATTTTCAGTTGTTCATAAGCTAGCCACTTTATGATATTTTCTTACAGCAACAGAAACAGACTAAAACATAAAGCCAAGATGTATGTGACTGAGAGTTCCTGATCTCTTTAGATATAATTAACATCAGTAAAAATTTATGGCAGAATACCAAGCCAAGGTTACCAAAATCAGGTATAAGGGGGAACTGACATATAAACCATTAGTATATAACACAAAGTGAGATAAAATAAACCCTGAAATCAAAGGAGATACAAACTCTAAAGGAATTACAACAAAAAGCATGATTAATTCCAACTGTAAGATTTATGCAGGCTTCCTAAAGGAGGGAGAAATTAAACCTCAGAAGATGTGTAAAGGACTAGGAGTATAGTTTTAGTGATATTTCTGGGGTTACATCTCTAGCACTGGGGATTGGGAGAGACACACAGATGGGTAAGGGAGCTCTTAAATCCCCAAATCACCATGGATCAAATCAGTGAAGATTGAACTTCATGCAACTATTTATGCGGGAGGATCCTTTGGTTGGGATTTACCTAATTTCAGCTCTGTGTTCTGCAATTACTATAATTATAATTAATATAACTATATTATAACACATTTTTAACATACTCAGCATACACACAAAAATATATAATATGCATATATACTGTTAATGGAGAGGAAATACCATTTTTTATTTATCTCCTATCCTCACAGCCCTCAGCACAATGACTACTCCATACAGGCAATTAATACACGTTTAGCAAAGACAACTACAGATATTCTAAAATTTGATTTAATTAAATAAAATAAAATACGGTTTAAGGAAAATTGAACTGAATTTAATTAATACAAAGCTAAATTCTGGGTAAGGGAAACAAAACATATGGCAAAATTACAAGTAAAATATCAACAGAAGAGACACCATAATAGAACAGCATTAACAGATAACAGGAAAGGGTCATGACCAAAAAGTGCCTCAATGTCTTTATTACTTATGTCTTATATCAGTGATTTTCAACTAGAATTGTGAAAAGTTTAATTTATCTATGGACCATGCTGGAAAATTTTAGATAACCATTGTAAGTATAGTCAAGTTCTAGAAAGCCCATGTGCAAAAAAACATTCCTGAGAAGGTATGACAAAAATCCAAGAGACACTGAATTTTGGTGAGCACAGACAGAAAAACTGGCCAATGCAAGTAGCAGGATCAATATGGGACTATTACCTCCAAGGTCAATAGGCATAATGGAAAGTATCTATCTTATCCGGGGGAGGTCACTATGCTACCTTTGGGTCATTTATTTCTGATACACTAGACCAGACCACTCAACTGTGCTGTCCTCTTTCTCAGTCTCTCAGTAGCATTAACACAATGTATTTATAGATGTTCATCAACACATAGTGGGGCTAAATCCTGCTAAACTAAAGCAAAAATACCATTATGTAGTCAAATGATGGAAGTCATAGGGATCTTCTGTACTTTCTTCTCTAGAGACAATATTCTCCTGCCTTCTGTGATGCTGTACTCTTTCTTATTTTCTCCCACTTCAACTGGCCTCTTCATTTCAGTCTGCTTCTCAGCACCATCTCCTCCTAGTCTATCCCATCTGTAAATGTTGAGGATCCTCAGGCCTCAGCTCTAATCCCATGTTCTTCCGTTAATATTTTATCTATAGATGGTACAATAATACCATCTATACCAATACCAATAATACTGTGGATTTAGATATTACATACACACACACACACACACACACACACACACACACACACATCACTAGGAAATGAACTGAGGGGCATCCAATCCCTGAGCCACATCTCCAGCACTATTTTGTATTTTTATTTAGAGACAAAGTCTTACTCAGATGTTTACTTAGTACCTTGCTTTTGCTGAGGCTGGCTTTGAACTTGTGATCTTCCTGCCTCCACCTCCTGAACAATTGTGGTTATAGGCATGTGCCATCATGCCCAGTTTTAAATATAATTTTAAGCTCATTTGCAAAACTAATTTATTTCAGACTTCTCTAAACTTCAATTTGTGGTACTGGGGATTAAATCCATGGCCTTGTGCATGTGATGCGAGCACTCTACCAACTGAGCTATATCCCCATAACATTCTTTAAATTCTTCCCATAAATTCTTCCCATTATTTCACAAAAATCTTTTAAATATTCCAAAGGACATTTCAAAGATTAGTAGAAAAAAATATTTTGAGATAAAAGTAATGATGGTTCAAATACCCTACCAATTTTGTAATAAACATACTGTAAAAACAACATATGTATAAAAATGGATTAAAACAAAAATATTAAACCTAGAATTTAGAACTAAATGGAAATTTCTATAACATTTAGCATATAATTAATTAGATGTTTAAAAACAACTTTTAAAAAGAATTTCTATTTACTAAATGTTAGCAGAATATTTTACATCTTTGTCTCATATAATACATTAAAATAAATTCTGCATAATCCAAAAGGATGAATAGTTACAATAAACAAGCATGTACATGCATGTACAAACATTTAAAGAACTAGAAAAACTAATACATCTAACCCTATTATAAATAGGAGATGAATAACAGAATTGTCTAGAAAGGTTAAAGTAGGCAAATCATATTTTTTAAAAGTAGTTTACACAATAAAATGTAGCAAATCAGTCTTAAAGTAAAAATAATGAAAAGAGGAAAATATACATCAATTTGCATCAGTACAAAACATTGATTCACACTAGGTTCTCAACAGAGATCTTTGTGAGGTAATTAATTTTTGACATAGAAATTTCAGATAATAGGTCAAATAATAAATCATTATATGAGAAAAATGAAGTTTCATTAAAGAAATGAAAAAAATACTACTACTTTATGTGCACATAATGAACACAAATTTAAACAAAACCAAAGTGATCATGGGGAAAATAATGGCTAAACTATTGGGAGCATTATAGATCAGCTTAACCTTTCTGGGTAGGAAATTTGGGAAAAACAACATTTCATGTTCTTTGACATAATAATCTTGCTCTGAGGAATACCCTAAGGAAATAACCCAATTCAGTAAAAAATATCTACACAAATTTGCTCAGTAAAAACTGGAAATATAAAAAGGTCTGGCAAAAGAGGAACTTGTATAAAGCAGTGAACTTTTAATTCAATTCAATAAATACAAGCATCATTATAAAAACACACAGTTTGTGGAAATGTAATATAATATTAAGTTTTTAAAAGGAAGCTAAAATATTGTATATATTATCATTACAATGATAATAATTTTAAACTTTAAAATTAAAGCTTAGAAGAAGTTTTGGAAGGATATAAGCAAACTTAAATATTATGTATTGGGGCTGGGGCTGTAGCTCCATGGCAGAGCACTTGCCTAGTACAGGTAAGATACTGGGTTTAATCCTTAGCACCACATAAAAGTAAACAAATAAAATGAATGCATTCTGTACATCTATAACTACAAAAAACTAATAAAATAAGCAAATAAAATAAAGGCATGCTACCCATCTACAACTACAAAAAAGAATTAAAAACAAATAAATATTATGTATTAATTTTTTCGTATGTTAATTAAAAGCTAATTTTTAAACAATATAGGCAAAGGTATAAGATAATAAAGAAATTCAGTTTAAAAATGAAAGAGACTACAAGGAAAGTATAAATATGCAATAAAATATTACTTGGAAAATATAAAAACATTTCTCAAGGAAGAAGAAAAACACAAATAAGAAATACAGCTAGGAAACCAATCCAGGTTGTGGGTATAGCTGAGTGGCAGATCACTTGCCTATCCTGCATAAGGCCAGGAGTGTGTTTCCCATAACAGAAACAAAGGGAGAGAAGGAGGAAGGGAAGAAGAAACTAAGCCAGAGTCGAGGACTCTACTTTTCCCCATTTTACTAGGAAAAATTTCAAACACAAATGAAAGTATAATGAGTAGTTAAATTAAACCCATTTCACCATAACTCAGCTGCAATAACTATCAATAATCCCATTGACCAATATGCCTCCACTTATAACTTCAATTAAAAATAATTACCAGATACCACACTATTTTGTCTATAAACACTTCTCTAGGTACTTCAATAACAAAATAATTAAACTTTAAAAAAAACTTATTGGGTATCCTGTTAAGTGCCTGGATCTCTCCTCATAAAATTTTTTATAGTTATTCAAGTCAGGAATCCAGTAAATTCTAAATGATTTGCATGAAATTTATGTTCCCCAATTTTAAAAAAATCTGTAAAAACCATCTTTCTTCTCTTTCTCCCCATTCTCATATATTAGTTGAAGAAAATGAGTTATCTGTCATGTAGAATTTTTTATAATCTGATTCAGGCATGGTGGTACATGCCTATAATCCCAGCAATTCAGGAAGCTCAGGCAGGAGCATCACAAGTTCAAGGCCAGCCTCAACAACTTAGCAAGGCCCTCTGCATATGAGACTCTGTCTCAAAATCAAAATAAAAAGGGCTGGGGATGTGGCTCAGGGGATAAGCACCCTTGGGTTAAATCCCCAGTACCAAAAAAAATTTGTATTATAATCTGAGTTTGGTTGATAGCACTTCCTTGAGTAATTAACATATTTCTTTGCCTATTTTTTTTTTCTTAACATGGCTCAATTAAATTTAGATTTGACTCTTTGGGACATATATGCAAATGCATCATAGTCAGAGGCTTAACATGCTTGATTTTTTCTCTCTTTCTATAGGAAATAAAAGATTTATTGATAGGTATCAACTTGCTCCACCCACTATAAAGTTCTCCATTGACATTTCATTCAATAATAATAACTCACTGCTGAGTTGCCTGGATCCATGTTTATATAGTTAACTGCAAGAAGATAATTTTCTAAATTCTATCATTCCTTCTGCATTCATCAGCTGTAATTCTTCTACACTGAACCTACCATGATCCACTATCTGATTTGTCTAACACAATTTATCCATAAAAGGCAAGTTAATTGCCCGATTCTTTCCCTTTATTTACCTATTTGTTCAGAATAATGAACTGGTGCTTTAGTAATCTCTAAATTATTTGTACAGTCTCCATACTAAGCTTTTGGATTTAAATATATTTATTTTAATCCACTGTACTCCAGTCCTTTTTATAACTTCCCATACTAGATAAATAATGGTCCCTCCATTGTTGCTCCTCTGTCCTTATTAAACAAGTTTTTATTAGTACATGGTAATTATATGTAATAGTAGTATTCATTATGATATATTCACATATGCCAATAACTTGCTCCATTTCACTCCCCATTACTTCCATTTTCCCCTTTCCTCTTCCTTCTCCCTGACCTTCTTTCTTTACTTTAATGGTCTCCCTTCTATTTATTTATTTTTAATTGGTGCACTGTATATAAAAGTGAGATTCTTTATGAATATTTATACATGTGCAGAGCTTAATTGTCTACTTCATTCCCTGGTTCCTTCCCTTTTTGTCCTTTCTCTCCTTCTCCCTCTCTGTTTCCCTAGATCTATTGTTTTCCCTTCTATTTTCGTGGTTTCCCCCAGCCTTTTTAAAAATTTTTTATTTTTATACTTTAATTTTCTTTTTTATGTGGTGCTGAGGATGGAACCCAGACCTCTAATGTGCTAGGTGAGCACTCTACCACTGAGCCACAATTATAGCCCTCCCCAGCCTTTTTAAAAATTATTATTTTTCTCTCTAGATTGTGCTTATGAGAGAATATATTCTATTCTTGACTTTAAGTTTGTGGCTTATTTCAATTATCATGATGTTCTCCAACCATTCATTTATCAGCAACTTAAATCATTTCATTCCTATTAGGGCTGAGCAGAACTCGTGTGTGTGTGTGTGTGTGTGTGTGTGTGTGTGTGTGTGTGTGTGTGTACGCACACACGTTTATCCATTCATCTGTTCACAGATGCTTTGGCTATTATGAATTGCACTACTATAGACACTGGAATGCATATATCATTAGAGTATATGACTTCAGTTCTTTTGGATAAATACCAAGTAGTAGAATAGAGTGGGTCATATAGTGGTTCTATTCCTGGTCTTTTGAGTAACCTCCATACCAATTTCCACAGTGGATGTACTAATCTGTAGTCCCACAAACAATGTATAAGTATTCTTTCTCCTCATATCCTCCAACTCTTAGTAAGCAATTTTTTTTTTTTGTATTCTTGATGACTGCATTCTAATTGGAGTAAGATAAAATCTCAGTTTTGATTTGCATCTCCCTAACCTTCTTACATGACCTCAGTAAATTCTGGAAGCTTAATTCTTCATTATCACAAGATGCTGTACTACAGTAGTTCTCAAAGTTTGATTTGAGTACCAGGAATGTCCTTGAACCAAACTTCGAGAACCAAGAATGTCATTGTCACCTATGAAGTTACTAGAAATGCAAATTCTTGCAGCTTAAGCAAACTTACTGAATCAGACCTTAAGGGCTGGACCCAGCAATCTAAGCTTGAAAAGGCCTCCAGGTGAATTCAAGGGACAGTATAATCTCAAACCCACTGATCTAGAGATCTAGGTTTAGAATATACATGTCCAGCTCCAATTCTGGAATCAGCCATTTTCTCTAAGAATCCCTAGCTCCTTTCAGGCATGAACTGTATTTAGAGAATATAGTCTAAGGCTAGGAAAACTCACTACCACTGGACTATTATATGTAATAGCATAATTTAAAAATATACATAATAGTAGTTAGTAAAAGAACTGAGATCAGATCCTAAGTATCTTAATTGTAGGCCAGTCCTCTTTTCACTTTCTCTGAATGAAATATATCCATTTCCTTAGTAGCTAAAAATATGGCCATCAGCTATCACTGGGACACACCTTGGAAAAGTCAGTTATAGTTCAAGGAAGGAGGTTTAACTGAAACACTAGAAACAGATTGAATTGTTAACCAATTTCCCAAAACAAAAAGATACCAATTCAGACTTGTGAGCAATGAAATAATTTCCTGTAAACATGCTACTGAAATTGTTAGGGGATAAAAAACCTTCCTCAACACACAAAATACTCTAAAGTAATTTAAAAAGCAAACATGTTATTTTTTAAAATGCAAGCAGTAACAGAACAACTTTTAATACAAATTATGACAAATTTAAATTTAAGACAAATTAAATATATGGTCTCAAAATGTGGATAAATTAAGCACAAAATTCATGAGAGAAAAAGCTACCATTGGGGGAAAAAGTGAGGAGATTTGAATTACATTAACAAATGAAAATTCAAGATGTGGAAAAAAACACTTGACATCACTAGTAATCAGAGAAATATAAAATAAATTCTTTTACATTCATCAGATTTGTATTTTTTTAAATGAGGAAGTGAAGGAGGAAGAGGAAAAAATGCTAATATTAACCATTGTTAATATTAACAGTTGAAAGGGTGAGGAAAAATTGATGATGCTTCTTTTCAAAAGTTGGTGCATTTGAAGTAATTTATCCTTCTGTAAGAAGTATATCAGTAAAAGTTATATAAAAGAGAAACCAAAAAAATTTGAGTTTCCAAGTTTAGAATGCACTTGTTGCAAAGCCTAAAATCAGTTTCTAGAAAATAACTTCTCCACATCTCTCTAGTCAAAATTGTGTGACTGTGCAATTATGGTATACATACTATATTATATCCAAAGAGAAGCAATATCACAGCAGTGTAGCTGTCATACCAGGAGTTTTAGAGGATTCCAGCATGTTTATGGGATTCCCTAAAACCTAAACCTTCTTTCTAAGGTATTACTGCCAAGAAAAAGAGGACAGTCTGCAGATGAGAAGTCCCAGATAAAAATCACAGCCAAGTCACTTAGAACATTGTGTGCACTTAGGTAAGTAATTCAATGTCTTTGTTTTCCTATTTGCAAAATGTGCACAATACCACTGTATTACAGTGAAGGTTAGAGAAATGTATGACCAGGGCCTACTTTAAATACTGGGAACCTAATTGGCACTGACATGGTAGCTGCTACTATTGTTATTTATTCTGGTTTAATATCATCACTCCATCAAAGAAGAAAAAAATATGTCCTCTATTTCTGTGAAATGTACTCTCTAAATTGAATATGTTTTTTAAAAGGAAGGAAGGAAGGAAGGAAGGGAGGAAGGGAGGGAGGGAGGGAGGGGAAATGGAAGAAAGAAATATGGAAAGAAAAGAAAAAGGGAAATGGAAAAAAGGAAGAAAGCCACAAACTAAGATCAACAATGGTCTTTAATGAACAGAAATGGCAAACAGTTATACTAACAACCCTATAGCTTAATATAACCCACTCATTAAACTGACATTGAACTTACCAATTAGGTATGATCAACTTGAAGCAAGATGAACTTTCTCCTATGCTGAGGTGTCCTCACAAAACTGTGGAATAAAACTTGCCTTTTCTATTTAAAGCCATTCCTTTATTGCTAAAAAGTTGATCTGACCGGAAGGCAGCAAGCAGGGTTAGAAAGAGAAAAAGGAGGAGGATAAAGATGAAGAGAAAAATAACATGCAATTAAGGATCAAATCTCTTCACCCAGTCCTCTCAGACTCCGTATGCTCTGACCTGCAGCTGCTGGGAGCTGTCGTTGAGATTGTCTTCCCTCCGCCGGGCCTCCTCTAACATCTGTGCACTCTTCTTTTTCTCCACCTGTTCCTTGTGCTTCAGATTTGCTACCTTCTTATTCTGGTCTTTCACTTGCCTATTGATAGAGGGAGAAAAATCAAGCTTTTTCATATATGTGCACAGAAAGAATATGCTATGTACAAATTTATACCGACAAAATCCAACAAAACTTCTTGGTGCAAGATTTTTTTCAACAATTGTTTTTTTTCTTCATATATATATGTGTGTGTATATGTGTGTGTGTATACACACACATATACACACACACACACAAACACCCACATATATATATTTAGTTGCAGATGAACACAATACCTTTATTTATTTATCTTTATATGGTGCTAAGGCTCGAACCCAGTGCCTCACATGCTCTAGGCAAGCACTTTACCACTGAGACTCAGCCACAGGCTGGATTTTTTTCAACAATTCCAAATTTTTCCCTATCAAAGATAATACACTGTATACAATGATGTTCCAGTTTTCCTCTAAGGAGAATATATTTCAGCACATACTTTATCAAGCATGACAAAATTATAAAACAAAAGAAAAGCATGAGAGGATCTGAAATGATAGAGAAACCAAGTCAACCATTTATGTTGAAAATAATGGAAGCAGCCTCCTTACATTGTCACACAGATATATTATTATGACTCATTAACAAAGGTTTTGAAATATAACATGAATTTTACCATTATTAAATCAATATTTCAAGCATTCAAAATGGTATATATAATATACATGTATCTGAAAATAATGGCATCAAGATCTAAGAACTCAGCTTAAGAATTAGAACATTCTAAGGCTAGGACTATATAGCTCAGTGGCAGAGCATTTGCCTAGCATGTGTGAGGCACTGGGTACAATCCTTAGCATCACATAAAAATGAAACAAATAAAGGCATGCTACAACTATAAAAAAAAATTTTAAATAACATTCTATCTACTTCTGAAGCTTCCATTGTACCACTCTCATATTCCAAAGACTATTATTACTCTATCCTCCACTGGTAAGAGTAATCTCTATGTTAAATTCTGAGTTTAAAATCTCCTTGTTTCTATTAAAGTTTTGCTACATATACATGGACCCTTCATTTATAGTTTGCCAATTTTTGAGTTTCATAAAATTTACCAATAAATTATTTTTTCCTTTCAGTTTGTGTTTTGAGAGTGATACTTAGTTTTCTTAATCCCCTCAATTTTTTTTGCAATATAAAACAATTTATATGATAACTGTTTTAGCCCATTCCCAAGGTGATGGATAACTGGGTTGTTTCCATTTCTTGCTATTATAAACAATGCTGCTATATATAATCTAATAGAACTATGCAAGTTTCTCTAGGATTTAGGTCTAAAAACTCAACTGCTTAGTCCATACAGTAGGTACAACTTACATTCGTTTCAAGGTTTTATTAACTTATACTCTCACTAGTAGGTCATAACAATGCTTGTTATATTTCTCCATACCCACTGACATTTGATATCATCAGACTTTAAAATTTTTCCTAATCTGATAAAAAATCGTATCTCAATATGGTTTTAAAATGCATGCTCCTGACTACTGAAGCTAAAAATATTCTCATATGGTATTTGGCCATTCCTGTTTCCACTTCTGTGACTTATATCTTTTGTCCATTGTTTAATTAAGACAACTTTTCTTTAATGACATACGATTACTTTATATATACACTAATAATTTTTTAACTGTCACATGTTATGGACTATGTTCTTCCAAACTATGAATTATTTCTTTGATTGCTTTATGATATCACTGCATTTACAGAATCTAAAAATTTTAATTGCTTCAAACATACCAATCTTCTCCTTTATAGAGTACAATTGTATGACAATCTTGCCCATTCCAAATTCATAAAACTATTCCCCTAAAGATGTTACAACCTTGGTCTTTCACACTGAAGTCATTAACCCACCTGAAATTGAAGTTGAGTGGGCATGAAGTAAAGATGTAATTTCATTTTTTTTAGTATAGTGAAAGAATAAAATTTCATTTTTGTATGTATCAATAATGATTTGACCCAGCAATACTTCAAGCATTGTCACCTCTGTCATATGTAAAGTTTTTATATACATGTTTGCCCATTTTGGGCTTTCCACTCTGATATGCTCGTATGTTTCTGAGCCAACTTTATACAACTGTAAGTACTACGGCTTTATAAAAAGTCTCAATAAATAGCAAAGCAAGACTCCCTGATTTTTCCTCTTTTTCAGAACTATTCAGTGCATTAATCCTCTGGTAGGTATTAACTGGGTGGTAACTCTAAGCTAACAGCATGTGGATGGAGGCGGTGGGTCACTCTGGAGGCATGCCTTTGGGGGATATATTTTGTGTCTCTGTGTCTCTGTCTCTGTCTCTCTCTCTAGCTCATAAACTTTTCTTCCTCCAATTGTTCTTGTCAGGTCTTTTGGTCTTGGCAGCAAAAAAACTGACTAAATAAACACTGTGAAAAATCATACGTCAACAAGTTGGAAAATGCAAAAGAAATGGATAAATTTCTAGAGACGTACAGCCTACCAAGACTGAATCAAGAAGAAATAGAAATAGATGTAAAAATCAATAATGAATACAGAAAAACAAGCAGTAATTAAAAAAATTCTCAAGGGAAAAAAGCTCAGAACTGGAAGACTTCACACATGAACTCTACCAAACATTAAAGTAGAATAAATATTAAAAACAAAAAAAGTAGAATAAATAACCAGTCCTTCTCAAATTCTTTGAAAAAACTGAAGAGGAAAAACATTTCCAAACTTATTTTAAGAGGCTAGCATTGCCTCCATATCAAAGTCAAATAAGAGCAGAAGAAAAGAAAATCATAGCCCAATATATCCTTGTAAACTCAGATGAAAATCCTCAACAAAATACTAGCAAACCTAATTCATTAGAATATTAAAAGGATCATTCACCATGAACAAGTGGGACTTATCAAGGATGATTCAACATACACAATCAATAAATAGGATATACTACATGGACAGAACGAAAGGTAAAAATTACATGATCCTCTGAAAAGAGAAAAAAAGCATTCGATAAAGCTAAACATTCTTTCATGATAAAAACTCTCAATAGATGGGCACAGTGGCACATGCCTATATCCCAGCAACTCAGGAGGCTGAGGCAAGAGAATCATGAGTTCAAAGCCAGTCTCAGCAACTTAGTGAGAACCTAAGAAACAGAGAGACCCACTTGCTAAATAAAAAATAACAAGGAGGGCTGGGGCTGGGGTGGGGCTGGGGCTAGGGCTGGGGCACAATGGTAGAGTGCTTGCCTCACACATGTGATGCTCTGGGTTTGATCCTCAGCACCAAGTTAAAAAAAAAATGAGTAAGTAAAGATATTGTGTCCTTCTATAGCTAAAAATAAATAAATAAATAGGATTGGGGATGGTTGTTAAACACCCCTGGGTTTAAGCCCCAGTAACAAAATAATAAAAAATAAATAAAAATTCTCAAATAAGGCATAGAAGTAATACACTTCAGTAAAATAAAGTCCATATATGATGAACCTATAGCTGACATCATACCCAAAGATGAAAAGCTGATATCTTTTCCTCTAAAATCAAGAACAAGAAAACAGAGGCCAAAGCTGGGCATGGAGGTACGCATCTGTAATTCTAGCAATTTAAGAGGCTGAGGCAGGAGGATCACAACTTAGATATCAACCTCAGCAACTGAAAGAGACGATCTCAAATTAAAATTTTTTAAAAAAGAACTGAGGATGTAACTTAGTGGTAAAGCCCCCTGAGTTTCAACCCCTAGTCCAAAAATGAAAAAGAAGAAAAGCAAAACGTGTCCACTTTTACCACTTCTACTTAATCAGTACTGCAAGTTCTCACAAATTGGGTGAAAAAAAAAAAACAAAAATAAAAGGCCTCCAAATTGGAAAACTTAGAAATTAAAGTGTATCAGTTTGCAGATGACAAAATCTTATATGTTAAAAACGCTGAAGACCCCATAAAATTATCAAAACTAATAAACAAATTCAATAAAGTTGCAGAACATGAAATCAACATAAAAAATAAGTTACATTTCTATATAGTACACAATGATCTATCCAAAATAGACATGAACAATCTCATTTATAATAGCATCAAAGAGAGAAAAATACTTAGGAATAAATTTAACCAAAGAAGTGAAAGTCTGCATACTGAAATCTATAAGACATGGATGAAAGAAATTTTTCAAGATACAAATAGAAAGATAGTCCAAGTTCACGGGTTGGAAGGATTAATATTGTTAAATGTCTATACCACCCAAAGTTATCTATAGACTCAATACAATTCCTATCAAAATTCTAATGGCATTTCTTAGAGAAACAGGAAAACAAACAAACAAAACCAACACTATAGTTTATACAGAACCACAAAAGACCCTGAACAGCCAAAGAAGTCTTAAGTAAGAACAAAGCTCGAACCATCACACTTTCTGGTTTTCCCAACTATACTACAAATCTATAGTAATTAAACACTGAAATACTGGCATAAAAACAGACACCATACACCACAGAATAGAATAGAGAGCACAGAAGTAAATCCATACATTTACAGTAACTTAATTTTTGACAAAGATGCCAGGAGGAACACGAGAGGATAGTCTCTTCAATAAATGGTTCAGGGAAAACTGAATATCTACATATAGAAGCATAAAACTGAACCTTTATCACACTGTACAAACAAAAATCAACTCAAAATGGATTAAAGCATTTTTAAAACTAAGATCTGAAACTTCATAAAGAAAACATAGTGGAAAAAAGCTCCTTGATAATGGTTTGGGCAATGATTTTTTTTTTCCTTATATGACACCAAAAGCACAGAGAACAAAGCCAAAATCAGACAAATGGGATTATATCAAACTAAAACATTTCTACATGGCAAAGCAAACAACAGAGTGAAGAGCCAGCCTATATAGATTAGGAAAACATACTTGCAAACCATACATCTGGTAAGGAGTTAATATCCAAAATACATAAGGGGCTCAAAGGCAAAAAAAAAAAACAAAAGAAACCCAAAAAAAACCCCTCAATTTAAAATGGACAAAGGATGCTGGGTGCAATGGTGCATATCTGTAGCCCCAGTTACTTGGGAAGCTGAGGTGGGAAGATGGCTTGAGCTAAGGAATTCAAGACCAGCCTGGGCAACACAAGATCCCATCAGCTCCCATCTGTTGGAATAGCTGTGATCAAAGACAAAAGATAACAAGATTTGGTGAGGTTATGGAGAAGAGAGAATCCTGGTACAGTGTTGAAGGGAATTGGTACAGCCATTAGCGAAAACAGCATGAAAGTTCCTGAAAAACTATAAACTGAACTATGATAAAATCCAGGAATCCCACTTCTGATATTTATTTGAAAGAACTAAAATGAGGATCTCAAAAGAGACATTTCTACTCCCATGTTTACAGCAATTTTATTCACCACAGTAAAGATCTGGAAACAACCTAGGTGTCATAAGAATGGATTAGGAAAATGTCCAATATACATATATAAGCAACGGAATAGTATTCAGAGAAAGAAATCCTACCATTTATGAAAACATGGATAAACCTGCAGCACAGTATAAAATAACCCAGACACAGAAGGACAAGTACTCTATGATCTCACTTATATGTAGAATCTAAAAGAATTAAACTCATAGAAGGAGAGTAAAATGTGGTTGTCAGGGCCTGGGGAAGAGGAAAGATGCTGGTCAATGGGCACAAATTTTCAGTTACAAAAGTTTTGGGGATCAAATATACAATGTGGTACAACTAATAATATACAATACTTGAAAAAGTCAGGAAAGCTTAAGTGTCATAAACACACATATATACACACACAGAGGTAATGTGTGATTTTAGCTTGACTGTAGTAATCTCTAACAGTGTATAGGCATATCAAAAGTTCACAGTGTACATCTTAACTATACACTAATCTTATTTGTCAACTATTCCTCAATAAAGCTTGGGAAAATATTCAAGAGGGAATGGTGAATTAATGACATTAATTATAATTCATTCTCTGATGAGAATGAATCAAAAGGTCCTATATAAGAATTCCACTTTTGGTCATCTGGAATATTTATATGATTTCAGTCACAGATACTACAAGAAACTCAGACACCATTAGAACAAAATTTTTTAAGTAATATTTTATTTGCTTTCTCCTCACTCCATAATTTTCTGTGTTAATGTTTCTAATGTGCTAATAACTTCATATCAATTATAATAACTAATGAAATAAATAGGTTGAGATGTTTGCACTAGAAAAGATGAAGATAGAGAGCAAAAGCTTGCTTTCATCAAACAAATTGTTTTTCCCCAAAATTAAGTTTCTCATAATGATCACTTACTGCATACAAAGGTTTGTTTTCTGTTTTAAGAGGGAAAAATATTTGAAATGGTGCATAAATTCCTTTCGCTTTGCATCTGTGAATTATTCCAGATGGTGCTGGCAATCCCTATCGCCTGTTGCACTAGGCTGGTCATTTGGGACATTATGACACACAGGATAAGGAACCCAATTAAAATCACTTGACTATTTTCTAGTTACAAGTCAGATATTATGGCCTAAGCTTCTGATCCAAAGCCAATTTTAGTTCTCAGCACTCTTAATTAGAATTATATATGAAAGTAAATAATTTTTTAATCCTAAATTTACCCCCTCCCAAGTCACAGAAATAGGTCATTGTATTTTTTAGCTATGTTTCAGAATAACTGAAGAAATTCATTGCTCTCATTCTACTCCACCTCTACACTCTCTATTTTTGTGTGTTATGTTTTTTAAAAAAAATGTTTAGCTGGGAATGGTGGTGCATGACAACAATCCCAGCAACTCGGGAGGCTTAGACTGGAGAATAGCAGGTTCAAGGCCTGTCTTGACAACTTAGTGAGGCCCTCAGCAACTCAGTGAGACGCTGTCTCAAAAAAATAAAAAGGGATGGGAATGTGATGCAGTGGGATACCGCATTGCCACCTCTGGTTAAATCCACAGTACCAAAATAAAATAAAATGATATTTATTTTGACCTTCGAAATATTTGGCATACAATTCTCATGACTACTTCCACTGATTCAAAAAAGGACATGATCCCAAATATAAGTGAGCATGCATCATTAAAGAAAATTAAAAACGAAAAAAATTTAGTATATTTTCTTGTTTGGATTTTCTATAGTGTCTACATTTTCTATAACAGACAAAACATTTTTTTTTTAAATTTTGTAGTTCTTTTTAAAAAACAATTTTTTTAGTTGTAGATAGATACACTATCTTTATTTACTTATGTTTACATGGTGCTGAGGATTGAACCCAGTGCCTCACACATACAAGGCAAGCATTCTACCTGAGCTATAGCCCCAGCCCTTAAAGTTATTCTTGAATAAGATACGGTTGCATCTCAAAACAGAGTATTTGCCTATATCAGACTACACAGAATGTAATACAATATGACATATTTGTGGTCCCCTTATTATTATTTTGGTCTTTCCTAATACCCTTCTTTTTATATTTTCATTCTCCCTGCTTTATCTTAGTTTTGCAGATATTTTATGTTTTTGTTCTATAGACAAAAGAATAATCATCAAGATAAAATAATTTTATCTAGTCAGACAATTAAGAATATTATAGAAAATTGTGAAAGAATTAAATCAATCCATCTCCCATTGTCTTTTACCTATCTCACCTTGTCCTGTGAAATTGTTCCTTATGGTATATAGGTGCTCATTAAGTCCAGCAAATATACAAAAGGAACCCAAGCATATCCTCTATACTGATTAACCTACTCAAAATAGAACTCCGAGGAATACAGTCTGTTTAAAGTTTGAAAACAATATAAGCCCGGAAAAATAAATATCTTCCTCACATCTTAAACACCTAGTAAATTAACAAAAATAAATTGTTTTCCTTCTTCAAAACTTACTAAGTTTTGAATTCTACTAAGAAATTATCATTTGTCATTCCTGCTGATTGCACTCCTGCTGGCTTTGTTTGCTTTGCCCAACAAAGATATATAATG